CCGGGCGATGGTGGCGCACGCCTTTAATCCCAGCACTTGGGAGGCAGAGGCAGGTGGATCTCTGTGAGTTCGAGACCAGCCTGGTCTACAGAGCTAGTTCCAAGACAGGCTCCAAAGCCACAGAGAAACCCTGTCTCGAAAAACCATAATAATAATAATAATAATAATAATAATAATAATAATAATAATAAACATTAAGAATTTTCTCAATCGAACTGAGTTGTACTGTCGTTCAGAGAGGCTGGTTAAGTGCTGGTGTTGTATGCATGAGACCCTTGGTTTTATCACAAGTACCATAAAACAAACAAATAAAAAAAGAAAAAACAATGGAAACCCCTAAACAAACATCAATAACAAATCCAACACTGCTTTGCCCTAAGAATTTGTTAAATTTAAGTTTCCTAAGTTATTAAATTTTGGCTCCTGCTATCATTGTTTTGTGTTCAATTGTAGGAAAAGTATATTTGCACAGATTTTTATAAAGAATTATTTTTAAAAGCGTTTGGATTTCACGATGGTTTGTGACTTCTAGATGCTAGGCTACTGAAGATCTGGTTCCATCAGATAAAAATGGAGACTATTTCTGTGGGAGGATCTTCTCCATCATGTCAAGGAAAATGAGGGTTTCAGTAAACCAAGTTCACTGACATTTTTAACTAGTAAAACGTATGGTGGAGAAGGCAAGAAACATTCAACACGAATTAATCCTGGACTCAGTGTGGAGAACTGTGCTGGAAGTCAGAGCAGTTCAGCCAAGGTGAACAGGCCTCCAGCCCAAAGGAACTCTGGACAGTTAACCCATGGTGAGAACTCTGGTAGAGAAACTGTACTTTGGGCAAGTGTCCAATGTCTCAAATTCTGAGATTACACGTCCCACCTCGAAAACAGCAAAGTTAGAGTCCTTTATTCACAAATCATTTCTAAAGAAGAGCAACAAAAGCAGAAACACAAAAAAATGTCTCTGGTTCTATTCTTTCTCAAACTCTGGAGTATTTTAAAACTTTTCTTGTAGGTTAATAGTGACTACCTTCCGGTAGCGCGACATTGTCCCTCAGAGACTACAAGCCCCAGTAGGCTGTACACGCGGAGCAGCGGGTACTTTTCCTCAGGACGCCCCTATCCAGATCCCTGGCTGAACGCTGTTGCCGCATAGCCTTCTGGAACTTGTAGTCTACTCCCTTTTCCTGTCCGCGCAGACTCGTGCGGCCCCTGTCTGCCCTTCGGCCCTAACCGAAGCCCAGCCCAGAATTCGACGCTCCCCACCCCCATCAAGCTGCCTTCTCTCTGGAGCCAACCTCCTCCGGTCACGTGGAGAACTCTCACTATGCGATTGGCTGGGGTGTAAAGGGGGCGGGGCCGAAGCCCCTGCGAGGTTCCGTGCCCCTGGTCCAGCCGCTTGTTTGGCTGCTGCCGTCACCTCATGGCGACTCCAGTTGAGGAGGCAGCGCGGGGAAGAGACGGCGGTACTGAGGAGGCTGTTGAGGGCGAACGGGAAGAACGGCCACGCAGTCCCAGGCAGAAGGTCAGTGAAGGGGATGCCTTAGTTGGGGTTGGGTCGCGGGAATGATTGGGTTAGCTTTTTCGGGGTTTACCTCTTCACTTACCCCCCTTTACCTTTAGCCGCGGGACGAACATCCGGCCCCTTTCCCTCAGAGGGGTGACGATAGTTGGGAGCAGGTGCGGGTGTGAGACTAAAATGGATCGGGTGGAAAAGGACTACAGTTGGGAGTTGGAGGCACTCGGCGGTAGGGGATTGAGGGCAGGATAGACCCGGGGCAGGGAGGGCTAAGGGGTGCTAGGCTGGGGCGCTTCAGGTATGACAGCCACGTGCGGCCGGTGCTGCCCCGGGGCGTCAGGTGTTCTCTCAGCCCGTGTGGTCACTGTGCGCTGGGACTCCCTTGCCCGTGGAGGCGGTGGGGTGGGGTGGAGGAGGCTCCCCGGGGTCCAGGATTGCCCTCTCGGCCACCAGCAGGTGCGTAGGGCGCGCTGCGGGGTGCTCCCCGGCCTCAGAGCTGAGGCTGTTGCGCAGTAAGATAACAGCGCGGGAGCTGGGGCTGCGCTTCGCCCCTTCCCCCCATCCCTCCCTCCCCCCAGCTTTCCCCCCCGCCAGTGCGCGGGCGGCTACGCAGGGGACGCTGCGGGGCTCCCAAGACCCACAGCCTGGGCTTGGTCTCTGGGCATCACGGACTTGCCTTGCGTGTGAGGCTGGGGAAAGAGCATCATCGTCTGGTAGCAGTCTCCTCATTCCTGCTACTACCCTCTCTTTCTTTTCTTTCTTTTTAATTTGCTAAGTGGAAACTTGAGTGCCTCCTGGGCTTGGGTTTTGGTCTTTTCTTAATCTAGGAGAAGAGCTGGACCGTTTGTTCCCCCTTGCCTTACTTGACTCGTGTCAAGGAGTTTTCAGTGTCTCCCTGGATACAGGAAAATCGAGATCTCTTTCAGAATGGGAGAATTCCACTTGTTCTGGAGCTCAGTGGGTGGAGTTTTGACAACGATTGCACAACGAATAGGGTACAGGGCTTTCGGGCCCCAGGAACTGAGAACTGGGGTGTATGGTACTGGAAAGGTGGAAATCCCATCCTTTTTCCTTGCAGGAGAACACACCGAAACCGCTCAACTTGTTGGACACCCTGCTTGACCACTGAGGGCTATTTAATATTACTTAATTATGTATTTGACTAATCTTAAAAGCCACTCCTGTATGAAGTTACGAAATAATATTTTTCTAATGCGATTCATGAACTTCAAAAGGGAGAACAAAGGTCTGGTTTACATTTGAGCAATGTCAAGAATTGGCTTTTTGGGGCATGTCCTTTTCTTCCTCACTTTTTTGGTTTTTAAGATGGATTCTCACCCTGTAGCAGGCTGACCCCAATTGACTATGTACCCCAGGCTTGCCTTGGACTTGAGACAATCTTCTTCTCTTGCCTCGGTTTCCTGAGTGCTGAGATTACAGCTGTGAGCCACCACTCTGGCCTTTAGTGCTTTTCTCTCTAAGTTCAAGTATTTTCATGTTATTCTGTCTCTCATAAAAATAGGATCTGCTGCTTGAAGGACTGGAAAAGAAGCTGTGGCCCAACATTTCTTTTGGGATTCAACACTGTCACTTTGGACATTTATTCCCTGAGGGTGGGGAGCCAATCTCAGTGTTTGATTTCATAGGTTCCCCAGGGGAGAGCTCTGATAAAAAGCCACTGCAATTGAGGACATAAGTTCCCTTTTATGCCACTGGAATAAGGACAAAAAGTCATTGAATTAGGAAGTAAGGTTTAATCAACTAGTATTTTCAACTATGAGGATAAGAGGTAATGACTCTTTGAATCCAGAACTCTGGTTAATAGCTGGTATATGAATGGTCTTATATGTCTATTGTCTTATTTTTACTTTGTATTACTTTGCTCATGCTTTTCTGGGAATCTTTCTTTTGGTTTCTATCTGACTATAAAATGGAATAGAAATTAACATTATTTTTGAATTTTCAGTTCAAAATTGAATGAACATCTTGTGTCTGTAAAATTAATTTTTAGTTGCTCACTTATGATCTTCAATTTATTGATTCTAGGTTAGTAACCTGAGAAAAACTCCTTTTTTCTAACTTACCCTCTATACTTTTGTTTTTCAGGAATCAGAAATAATATTACACAAATTCAGTTGTTTTTAAAATACTGGAGGAATTGAAAAACATGACTTGTTATCATTTGGTTATATTATAGGACCTGAAGTGAAGAAAACTGGAGATGGGCTCTGTTGGTTCCTGGTTCAAATCATCTGCCTAGTCACTGATTTTTCTGAGGCAGTGGCTGACCTCCCAAGTACTATACAAGTGGCATTACTACACCCACTTTTAAAAAAGAGACAGAATCTTGCTATGTTCATCTGGGTGGCCTTGAACTCTTGGGCTCACGTGCCTAGTCACTCTTAACCTGCTCAGTTAATTATAGCATGGTTTCATAACTATATTCATTTGAATGGGCTCTTGGGGTGACTTATTCTAAAGGTAACATTGCAGTATATGTCTAGGTGTCATTTAAGGAATTGTCTTAAAACTGCTGGTATTATAGGCACTAACCATTTTGCTATCTTATTTTTTTATGTTTTTTGTTTGTTTGTTTGTTTTTGTTTGTTTGTTTGTTTTTTCGAGACAGGGTTTCTCTGTGGCTTTGGAGCCTGTCCTGGAACTAGCTCTGTAGACCAGGCTGGTCTCGAACTCACAGAGATCCACCTGNGAAGGAAGGAAGGAAAAAAAATTCCTGGCATTCAAGACTGAATTTCGGAATGTAATCTTCTGACCAGACAGCAGTGTTAAACCAACCTTTAATCTGTACTAATGGAGCTAATGTTTTTCAAAACTCGTGGCTTTGGAGCCTGTCCTGGAACTAGCTCTGTAGACCAGGCTGGTCTCGAACTCACAGAGATCCACCTGCCTCTGCCTCCCTGAGTGCTGGGATTAAAGGCCTGCGCCACCATTGCCCGGCTATCTTATTTTTTTTAATACAGGGATTGAGTAGTGGAGATTACAGGCTGTACCCACTGGGACCAACTACAATTTGTTAAAGTTAAATAAAGTTTTAAAATTCTCTTTTTCAGTTATACTAGCCAGATTTCGAGTATTCCAGTAAAAGTATTCCAGTAATTAATATGGGTATGGTGCAGTTTCCTGGTTTTTTGTTTGTTTTGTTACTTTTTTTCTTTTGGTTCCCCCCCTCACCCCCAACAAGGTTTATTTGTAGCTTTGGAGCCTGTCCTGGAATTAGCTCTTGCAGACCAGGCCGACCTCGAACTCACAGAGATCCACCTTTCTCTCCCTCCTGAATGCTGGGATTAAAGGCATGCGCCACCACCACCCGGCTGTTTCTTAGTTTTTTAAAGCCAGAGTTTACTGTATATCCTTTGTTAACCTGGAACTCATTATGTAGCCCATGCTAGCCTCAAATTTACAGTTGTTCTTTTGCCTCAATTTTACTAGGACTGGAATTACAGGTGTTAGCCACTACACCTGGCTTCAAGATATTGTCATTATTGTGTAGAGTTCTGTTATACATCATTGATCTAAGAAACTAGGTATACATTATTAAATATTACAGGCATTTCTTAAAAACAAAGAACTATTAAGTTTACTCATTCCTATTTCATAAAGTTGATCATAAAAAATATCAAGACACTTAAGCGGTTTATAAATTTACAGAAAAATTGAGCAGAAAGTAGAATTCTCCTATTTCATCCCATCCCCTTAATTAGATGTTGCAGCAATGTGGTACAATTTGTTACAATTGTTCAAGCAATATAGATACATTATTACTGACTAAGCCCATAGTTTACATGGTTCAGTGATGTTCTACAATGTATAAATTTTGACAAGTATATAATAACATATGTCCAGAGTAGCCTGTGCTCCACCTAGTCATTCTTCCCAGCTGATTTTTTTTCCTTTTAGTTGGATGATATTTATTTAGGTGTGTGTGTCAGTCATATTATATGTGTGGTGGTCAGAAGACATTTACCACAGGGATGCCTAGGAATCAAACTTGGGTTGGCAGCAAGTGCCTTATCCACTAAACTATTTTGCCAGTTTCTGGTGTGTTGTTTTTGAGATAGTATTTCATTGTGAAGCCCAGGCTGCCCTCAAATATACTGATCCTCTTACCTTAGCCTTCTGAATGCTGAGATTACAGGCATGTGCCACCATGCCATGTCAACTTGTCACTATATGTATGTATTTATTGTGAGACAGGGACTCACTGTGTAGCCTAGAGTGTGCTACCAAACTGGTCATTTAACTGTCTCCATAGTTTCGTCTTTTCTGAATGTTTCAGTGTTTTTGTTTTTAACAAATTTTGCTTTTGGGAATGTTAAAAGATGATTTGGCTTGGGACAAGAGAGATGCTTCAGCCATTACGAGCACAACTGCTCTTGTAGAGGACCAGAGTTTAATTCCTAGCACCCATATCGGGTGGCTTACAACTGCTGGTAACTCCAGTTTCAGGAAACTAATGCCTCGGGCCTCCATGGACACCTGCACATACCCATCCACATACACATAATTAAAAATAAAAATCTTTACAATTTTTAACTATTTTTAGATCTGTAAATCCTTTTAAAGACAAAAAGTATATGATACTTGGATTCACCTTACCAAAACCTTACATTTATGTCCTATCATTTTGATAGCGCGTTTGCAAATACATTAACTCTTCTAGCATCACTCAGATGCTGTAGAGAAGGTTGGGCAGCTATCATTGCTCTCATTTACTGATGACACACTGCTAGGTAAGGTCAGGTGAGTTGCCCAAGGGATAAAGCTAAGTTTGGAACCCAGTGTCCTTTCATCTATACTATGGTAATAAGTAGTATAGTAGTGGGTAAATAGTATAGGTTCTAGAGTCAGGACTCTTGGCTCTCTGCTACTTAATAGCCTTGTAACCCTGGGCACATTTCTCAGGCTACAAGCCTCAGTTGCATCGCCCGGAAAGTGGGAATGCTGCTGTGCACACCATATTAGGATTATTGTGAGGAATGACTTGA